AAGTTTCTTTTATAGATAAGTATACATATGTATATTGGGTCACACTTTTATGACTGGACGTTACTAGTACTGTTTACCACTTCCATGTCAAGTTTCGGGCTATCCTAAACATTCAGTCAGGAGGCCGAAAAAAGAGTGTTCTTTGGGAATTTTTTTCTCGAAAACTATAAGTTGAACAAAAGTTAATTCCCCAGTTAACAGGTTAATGCCGAAGGAACATATGTACTTTGAATAAAGTATAGTAAAATTTTTAGAAATATGGTCAGTGTTTGAATTAATATATTGTTAATCATAATGTTTCCAGATGTACTGTATAGTGTGTATACACATATTAGGTCAGCCCTAAGTGCATGTCGTGTTTTATACCGGGGTATGGATTGATATTTCCAATATGCTATTAAGTTTTATGAAAACACGAATCATAGTGAATAGAAACAATGCGATTTTTTTTATTATGACAGCGCTAGACCTCATATGGCAAAAAATGTTAAAAAAAAAACGCGAATATGTAAACACAACATACAGTACAGATTTTCGGAAAGGCGAGTGTAAATTTTACTTTACTTTGGACTTAACGAAACCTTTAATAAAGGAAAAGGATCTCTGACATAATTTAAATTCGGTCAACAACTCCATAGAAATCTAAATTTGCGGAAAATTCTGCAGTCTTGTTATAGGTAATAAAAGATTCGTTGTCCATTAAGTAAAATTGTACACTTCCCGGTTTCATATCTCTGCATGGTTTACGATTGATAAACAAATGATTGTTATCATTGTCAGTTATTATTTACTTGACTTTGCGTAGCTTCATGTTATCACAGTTGTGGAAAAGTTTCTCCTTTCGCAATAATACAAGCTTCCGTTCCACGAAATAGTGATTGACAAACGTTTTCAAGTATTCCTGGCGTATTACGGATCGTTATAAATGTATTCTCCATAATAATCTTTAGAATAATGTAAAAATGAAACAGTGTAATAATGACATGATAAATAAAACTAGTGCTTCAGATGTCTGACCGTTGGGGAATCTAGATAATAATATAAAGAAAAGATCACCGTACTAAAAATGTTTTTTATTCTGCATCATGATTTTACAAGTGTACACTCACAGAATCATGGTATTCTTTCCTTTATGTTATTGTCAAGATTTCCCGACCGTCAAACGTTTGAAGGATCAGTTTTCAGTACGTTATTTGGTAGAATTTCTTTAAAGATTGTTTAATGACCATCGTAATGCGCATCATTGAATTCATTTTACTATTATCCATAAGTTCCACGAAGAAAACAAAATTTGACTTTCATTTAACAAATTTAATATGACCTTGGAATTTCGAAAAAAAGAAAAAAATGTTATAGGAAGAAATCGAATAATTCACTATGTGGTTCCGTTCGAATCATACGGGTTTCATCTGTAACAAATTTCGCCCAGGTTATTACTTTCGGAGTTATCGCATTGGTCCTACTGCACGTAATGTATAACTGAAGATAAAAAATTTCCTACACGAATGTTTTTTTTTTTAATGTAAATAAATTAATTTGAAACCACTCAACTTTTATCTCAATCATTTTCCATTAAAATCGTAACTTACTCAATAATCAAAGTGGTTCCACTTCTCCTGAAGAACATAATAGGAACATCCGGTCCACGTCACCGTCTCTGTTGCGGGGATGCAGAAAACAAAAACTTGTCAATTAACAAGCGCAACCAAAGAAAATTAAGAAAATTATTCTTACCGCATAACCTTTTCAATATATGTTATTAGATGTTGCGGGGATGCAGAAAACAAAAACTTGTCAATTAACAAGCGCAACCAAAGAAAATTAAGAAATTTATTCTTACCGCATAACCTTTTCAATATATGTTATTGTTACAATATACAATATATGTTATATATTCTGGACTCTCAGTAATAACCTTTGTATCCATTCCACTAGAAAAACCTACGATAAAATATCGGAAACATTTATCATATTCGATACATCGAACTGCTCGACAATATTGATCTGCACGAAAAATGTATGACATACTCACAGTAGGCCATTACCATAAAATTGGTGGAATTAATAAAAAAATGTTCATGTCATGAAATAAGATAAAATTAGGACTATTTGTAATATGTATATTTGCTTGAAAAACACTGAATAGGCTACGTACCTCAATGACCTTACATATGATTGCATTTGTTTTATAATCAATAGCTAGTCGACTACCTCTTGAGGCAATCTATCAGTCAGTCTTTTTCACGTCTCGAGTGTTCATGCCACGTTCTGTTTTTAAGCGAATATTACATCAAATAGTAACGGATATTTGTAGTACATGTAATTATCTACTTTTCTCAAAAACTTTTGGATTTTCACCTCATGTTAAAGCCGTAGTTCACTATTACATTATCACATTAAAAAGATATTCGATTTTTATATATCGGATTAGATTGAAAATGTTGTAACTTTTTTGGCGTATGTAGGTTTGTCAAAATTTGTCCAGTATTACGATCAGTAAACATTACTGTTGATATTAAGCCAAAATTTTTTAACGAAAAACCAATGAAGTGTTATAACAACGGCATAATGGCTCTACCGAAAAAGCGGAAGGAAGTTGTAGAACGAAATGACAATTATGTTTTTTCATAAAACTTAAAGCTGTGCTAGATATATTAATCCAAGTTCGGTATGGAGTACGCTACGAACTTATGGGATGACTTAATATTTGCATACGTTATCCATTATCTGAAATTTTAATATTTATTATTATAAAATGCTCGCTGTTACATGCACAGTGTATGGTATATGTATATATGCACTGAATCTGACGGACAGCACATAGTCGCGCTTGTCAATCAAGCAGCTATGATTACGGGATTATGTGTTCATAAGGTAGACATGGGGCAACTACAAAAGCGCTACCATTAAGATACGAAAGAGTTCCACGCCTAGTCAACGGCAGATTATTATGCTTGGATACGAAAGCTATACTACGAGCCCGTTATTAATGCGACCGATACTCATTCCGCACTCATCCGTAGATACGATCTCTCCGCCCAGTCAATCGGATCGCAGAGTCTAAACCCGTAATTACCATTAGCCCACCCATAGCGAGTGCCATACCATGAGCGAACGAACGAAACTTTCAATTTACACGTTCTTAAGTCTACGCTATCTAAACTATGTTAAATAAACGCCAAAGCCGAATTTATTTCTCCATTCTTCAGGTTCTGTAATTGATTTCACGAGGATTTTGAGTGGATTTCGTTCAGTGAACTTCGCGATACATATTCTCACAATTTATACATAGGTATCAATGGTGTACAGTTTATTGTTGCTTTATTTATTTGACTTATTTCTGAAGTTTCAGGTTTCTAAGTTACATTTTAATTTAATATATTCTTCTAACTCACAATAATATAAACCACGGAAGATATAAATATTTAAAATGTATTTTTGAAAGATATAATCACGTGGGCTATATTTCTAGGATATTATAATTACATCAAAAATATTCCACAGTCATCATTTCAAAGTGTATTAGTTTCTTTTTTGGTTATCGTTGTCTGATACGTAATTTCGATCGATCCATCACTCGACATATACTTAAGCACAATTCGTAACTCGAACACCAGATTTTTTTTATTCGGCGCGTTTGTCTTCGCGTTATTAATTAAAATAAGAACTAATGCAGACGTGGCGAGAAGTCAATAAAATCAGTTTTAAGTTTTGTCAATGATAAAGGAACCCAAACACGAATTTAACGTCTCTTCTGGAGTTTCGATTGAGGAATATAATTTCCCCGACGTTATTAAAAGTTATTAATAATAATTACTCCACGCATAATTTTACTTAGGCAATGAAACTGTTTGAAATTTGTTCTTCCAATTACGTTTTTCGATTAGTTATGAAATAGTAGTAATTGTTGTCTACTGTCACTTTTCGGCTTGAAAAGATAGTAATGACATGAAATCTGTTTACCCAAATTTTTTTATTAGTGGAAAAATGGATCCAAAGCTTAACGAACAAAATTTTGATGGGCGTTTAATGAATTTTAATTATGAAGTCTGACGACAGAATGCATACTAAGAATTTTTAATATTATACATATATACAAACCAAACATTAACGACTTCTTTCAAAGTGGTTCCCTGTTAATGGTATGCACATGGTTCAACGTTCCTAGAACTCGAAATCTTCTGAGACCAATGTTAAAAGTTTTTTTAACACGAATTTATCGATCACTGTCATATTCGTATTAATTGTGCCAATTTCAGCGAATTTGCTCCCCTTTAGCTTTAATTTACTTCTGAGGAATAGAACAAAGTTGCAGGGAACAACGTCTAGGTAATAGTGAGGATGAGGTGGTGTTGTAATTCTGTTCTATGGAAGAAATTCTTGAATTCAAAAGACATTATAAGTTGGAGCGTTATCTCGATGGGGAGTAGCCATGCATCATTTCGAAAATGTTGAGACGATTTTTTTTTACACTTTTTTCCATAGATTTCGTAGTATTGTTGTAAACAGTGATGATTCGACGTCATCACTGATGAGCTCGTGAATATATGTACATATTATGTACCATTTATATAAAATAAAAGAGAATATTATTGGTATTCTTTTATTAGAACATGTAAATGAAAAATTTTACGTTCGAAAAAGTAGAAACAAATTCCAGTTGTACAGAAAACATTAATCTACTTTTATAATATTGGAGTTGCAGTTGATGTATGCCTATACAAATATGTTAACGGAATATATAGGTTTCTGTCGCCTAAAAATGAATGAATAACATCGACAATATTTCGCTATCAATAAAGGTTTTCGAGAACTCGTTTCAGTTGAATAAGGAAAGCTATTAAAATGTGAATTTGTCTGATGAAGGTAGAGCACTACGTGAAAAAATGAAATCAAGGTAGAAAACAAATAACTCAAAAGTCCATAAACAATTTTATTTATGAAAGTTAACAGGTAACAGTTTATAATTTGACAATTAATTGTTCCGTTTCTTGTTTCAGACTGTGTGCAACAATCTAGAGCCAGAAATACGGTGAGTAAATTCGCATGATAATTTATTAGAATATCTTCTATCTTTTATGAATTATATTCTAATATTTTTAATATATTGTATTTTTTTACCTACTTAATAATTTAGTATTACTGGAGTTTGTATTTGTGAACGAACATTAATTAGTTTATTAATGTTGTACTATAAGAATTTTTTTCACGGTTCTATAAAATTACAAATTTCAAGATCATCTATTTAATCATTTAATTGTCTCATTAATCGAGAAAAATTTCAATGTACTTGTTTTAAGAGCTATTTATCATCTGGACAAGCTTAATAACTCTTACCATGTAATTAAAATTTTGTATATTTTCATAAATGCGGAATTTTTCATTTATCACCATTATCAGTAAATGGTGTTACCTTCTCCAATATTCTTACATTAGACATTTAGTTGTATGCAGAGTTATTGCTAGTTGACGTATTTCACAATTTTCTGCGAGAAAGTGTTACAATAATTCTAGATAGGAACTGTCAGCTTGTAAGGTATTTTATCTATAAATGAATAACTTATTATTTACAAAGATTTGTTATAAGAACTTATTACTCATGTTATTTATATTTGTTATCATGATATCATCCTGTATTTGGAATTGAAAAAGTTGCAAATTGTCGGATCACGAAAAAAATAGAAAAGGTCGCTTTTTACAATTTTTTGATCTGAGGCTATAATGAAAATTTAATAAATATGTAAGGTGGCCGAAAATAAATGGATGGTCATAAACGAAATAAAATAATAATTTATTAAACGAACTGTTTTAATGAATGGCCGGCAACGCAATGCTCACACAATGAACAAATACCTCTCAATGGCCTGAACATGCCTTCCGATATAATCACGCCTTTATACTTTTTATAATTATCTTCTATATAATTATGTCTTACAAATACATATCGAAGATTTATGTTAGTTATATACATACTGAAACTTTCATTGAAATCGATTGATACAGAAACGAGCGACAGGCATCAAAAGATGTAACAATAATAAGAATTCGGTAATTCTCCCCTCGACCACCGTTTACTTGTTCGGTTAATAAGAACTAAAACGGAAGAAGGAACTAATTTTCTGTTGGATCATTTACTGCTCTCATTATTAATCACTCGTTTCTTACAGCAGACAGTATTTATAAGGTGTGTGTCTAAGAAAGAGTTTAGAGGAAAATAGTTTTAGAGTAAATAATACTTAAATAAATGAAAAATGTTTAACGAACAATTCTCGGGGTTAGCAGCGATTTTGAGTGGTGTCAGTAACATAAGCGATATGAGAATAATTTATTTTTTTTTTAATATATATAGAAAGCACGGAGAAACACATAGATACACATGATAGGAAGTTCCGTCTTACCATTCAAAATCGTTTCTAGGTCAGATAGATTTTGTGACCATGTTGATTAAACAGTTTTATTCGCCAATTCTATAAGCACTATCTACTCTGTATATCTATTATGTATGTATATCCTCAGTTTTGTTTTGTAAACTTTGTATATATTATATACAAGAACAGGAGTTCATATAACTGGTAGGTAGGCCACTTGACACGGGTTCAGACATGTAATAAGAGTTCCGAAACATACTCAGTACATGTATCGTGCTTCCAGATGAATGAAGTTCTACTCTAGCCTGATCGATGACATGTTTGAATTAGTGTTGTATAAAGCTCGAGTCTTTGAAGCTACAAAGCTTAGCCTTAAAGACTGAGTCTTTAAGGCTACAATCATATGAAGCTCGATGCTCAAGGCTCGAGCTCCACGGCTCGAGTCGTCGAGGCTCGAGGCTCGAGTTTCAAGGCTTTGAGTAGTCGAGGCTCGAGCCTCGAAGCTCGAGGCTTTTATGTTTAACACGTTCACTGCTGAGCGTGTTTCTGCTGGTTTTGTCTTCAGTGCCAAAGAGTGATTGCCCATTAGAATCATATAATAATATATTACACAATATGATTATATGTATTGTGCAAACTTATCATGCGTAGTACATTAATCTTGCTGCCGGTCATCTATGACTCCCACGGCGTAAGAGTATGTTTCCAGTCGATCAGATAATACTATATTTTGAACATTAAAGACAAATTTTTAGCAATGT